GCCTGTACGACCAGATCGATGTGTGGAGTGGGGCTACGACCCCACCGCCGCGGCCTGGCCATGCAGACGTAGGCACTTCCTCTCTTCTCCTCCTGACCACTTGGGCTTAATCCCGTACCTTTCGCGCAAGCATGCATGCTATAAATTTCGCAAGCGCGATTAGTTTGCTCTTTATGAACTTTTGAGTAAGCGCGATCAGTGAGGGTCGGCTAACGAGTGAGCTTGAGAGGTGACTCGACAAGAGAGTTGGGCGATCCGACGAGCTGGTGTCGGGTATGCGGGGTTGACTTGCGGGCCGCGATGGACTGTGGCGCACGGGCGAACCTGGCTTGCATGCTCGAACCAAGCGGGGTGACAACTCTATGTTGATGCGCGACGACGGACTGCCCGCATCGGGGAGTGTAGAGAGAGAGAGAGAGCAACTATGTGTGGGATGAGGTCTCTTCTTCCAATTATCTATATAATTTTGATTTTCACTTTGGCCGATCTTGTTGTGGCCCTCTCGGACTTTCCTTGTAAATCATTTCGGGTTTTCTTTGTCGTTTTTGCCTCGTGTGTATACATGAAATGGATGCGAACCCTTTTTGAGTGATGTTTTCGGATTACTAATCTTGTTTTGTGATGCCTGCTTAATTCAAACTTCGTCACTTTCTAGTATCCCTCTGCGTCGAGCAATAATCCCGGGTCTGATTGAAAACTCTCGCTACGGATGTTTGGGTTTAATCGTTAGCCTTATCTCGTCATCAGATCACTGAGAAAGTTGTGATGCCTGGGCAATTGCCACTTAATGGCATGGATGTGAATGTAATGACCACATCCACCCAAAATAGTATGGGTAGGATAGTTGCATGCAGGAAGGACACAATTGATACACCGACCCGAGAAACCCAAGTCTGATCCACTTTTGCTCATATGCACGCTCGCGTACGATTGTGATCTCGAGAAAACCAAGTCGCAGCGTATGCGCGCGTCTGTATGAGTCGACCATGATCCTGACTCACTATAAGGATGCGGGAGACCGAGTTCACTAGTCGGATATGGTTGTAAACCCCCCCTTTTGGATCATCGATCGTGAGAGCCCGAGGGACCCGGAGTATCGCGAATACTGGGAGGGTGAACATCTCAGACGGCGGGGAAACATGAGAAACTCGGAATTCCCCTGCCTGACGGAGAACGACCGACTGTGCGCGGGGGACTTTCACTGGGCCATAACTAACGATCATAGGGGCCCAGTCTATCCGGATACTAACAACACTCAATATTACATATCTCCGGGCTTCGCCGTTATTAATACCAGTTTCCCTCCTTTCAATCTCCTCCTTCCATATCACCAGCTCACAGTGGTACCGTGGAATTCCATAGCTCGCTATTGGCCCCGCACATCGTGCGCAGAGTGTGAGCAACACCAGGCGTATCGGGGTTCAGGATTTATCCGACGAACCCGAACCGAAGCCGAGCGGCGCGGACAACTGTTCGAACAACGCGACAACCATAATAACCCACCGGTCCACCAGATAAGGAACCGACCGAGGCGACACAACTGGCAGAGACGATAGTCCCAGATACGATCTTCGCGTACCATCTTGCACCATTGTCCCTAAACTTGCCATTGAAGATCTCATTTCCGACTTGTCGGACTTGGGACTCCACCCCCACTTTCCTAAAATCCTTGGTACACCCCCTTTTTCGCACTTTCGGGCCCCCATCCCACTCCGATCAGGAAGTCGGGCTTGGCGTGAGGTTGGGCGTCACATTGGCTTGATCAATGCCCACATTCACCTTGAATCTAACCTCTCTAGCCTTTACGGATATTTCTCCAGGTCATTATTCGTTGGGAGTACTCCTTCCTTGTTGCACAACGGATCAGTTCCCTAACGAGATCGCCGTCAATGTTCGCGTCATCAGGCGAATGAGGGGGAGAATGTGCTTCCTTGGCCATGACTACTTCTTCCTCGTCCGCGACATGCATCTCGTTTACCTCTGGCGGTAATAGAGATAAGCTAACCTTCTTTGATAGATTGTTTTAACGGGAAGCAGCCGACTTCGAGTTTTTTGTCGATCAGCTGACGAACTGAATCACATAAGCTATCAAAGATTCACTATGAAGGAACATATGATTTGATCCAGTGAAAAGTGAGAAGCATTCTCCGCGTATCGAAGATAATGACAACAGGAAATGAGAATGGCAAGAAAAACGTTGAAGCTCTCGTCTTCTTGAGAAATGAACTTATTTGCAACGACAAAGATTTTCGGCCTTACAGTACAATAACTTTCACTGAGCAGAAAATTGACTATGTGAGAAAACCCTAATGCATTATGACTATCTGATACCATGTCTTTCTCTGCAAGAGAGTGTACGTGCGGGGCCTTTACGGGTGTGCGCTATGAGATCTGCAAGGCTCCAAAAACCAGATGCTCCATCAAAGCGGAGGGTATCAATCGCCATATCAGACGCATATTGTCGAATGACAAACGGAGTTGCTTCAACAGAGATAATCAGACACTGACCTCGACCACCGCACTAGCACCCATATCCATGACATAAACCTGAAGAAACCAGAAGTATGAAGTGGAAAGGAGAAAGGGGAAGGAGAAGTGGGGGAAAAAAGGAAGAGTCTGGCAAGGAAGAAGACGACGACATATAGCGAAAAGCCTTTCCCGAATGCGACTTGGTTCTGCAAAAAAGGATAGGAGTGAACAAGAGCAGAACCTACGGCGAACGACCTGACCGGTTTCGGCTGGCCGTCGTGCCCAGCACTCATCAGGGGTCTTGGTCTTGTTGGAATAGTATGTCAACTATATATCCTAAGATGAATCACCAGGATTATCTAGAGTTAACCGTGTGTCATAATTCCGTATGAATAGTCATGTACAAACAAATCCCGGACCTACGATAAATACCACATTCATTGCCCATTCATAATAACTCAACGGGCAACTCCATCTAGGCTAATTAGAATAATTTCGTCTTTTGCAAAAAAAAGGAGAAAGCGTGACTGTAAAAGCATCCCAAAAGGGGTAGCCCTTTGGATTATCGAATCCATGGCCGCAATTAGGAATCTGTCAGGGGCGCCTGTACCAGTATCAGTTGGGAGATAGGAGCCTTGTCGTCCCTTTTTCAGTAGGATTTTGGTAAGTTCAGTGGTGGGTTTCGGAACCCCCACCTTCGGGATTTTGGTAGTTGCACAGAGACCCCACCTTTGGGATTTGGTAGTAGTGTACCATTGTAGGTATAAGTGGCAGTAGGTCAGATAGGCTAGGGAGCACGCAGCCAAGAGCTGCTAGGTCTGTACTGAAAAGACCTGGCAGTGCAGGCTTTTCAGCCTGCAAGCTATGCTGGATGATGCTTCCAGATACTGGTTCGAACCAGGGGTAATGTTGAGGACCCCGGCCTCTAAGTTGACTATGTAATGAACTTTGAAGTTTGTGGGGCTGGGGGGCAGAAAGCATCGCACAAAAAAAGGAAAAAAAGAATGGCAAATTTGGCAATTTTGCCGAAAAAGTCCCTAGTGTGAGTCTGCCGAGGGTCTCAGTTATCTGACCCCGCTGTTTAGGCCCTCCAACGGCCGGAAGATTCCTGCTCATCCTCAAATGCGAAAACGTGACCAATGAGCGTGCTCCCGATTCTTCAAACCTCAGGCCGCGGATTAGCTTATCGTAGGTAGGAATCTTCCCGATTCTTCAAACCTCAGGTTCGAACTTGAGGTCTCATTCTGATCGTCGCATGATCTTGCTGCCGATTCTTCAAACCTTTTCTGATTATTACCATATCTTGTTCCCAACGGGGCTTTCATTTTTTCTTTTTTTTTCTTTCATTTTCCCCTCCCGCCACGCGCCGCTGCTCGCGAAACCCATTGACTTTCCGACGCCGAATTTCGAAGTTCGCGCTCAGAAGCTGTCGGAAAAGACGTATTTGGCCACCTTCTGCGTCAATATGCGCTCGCCACTGTATCTCGTTTCGTGATTGGTGAGGCGAAGGCCGCAGCACTCTCGACTGGAAGGCCACACTGTCCAACGAGTCTCCGTTCTGCTGACGTCATGCCGACATCCATTGCCAGCTGCGTTCGGCAATGACGTGTCCAGATTTGCTTTGCCTTTTTGTTTCCGTTTTCGGGCGGTGCCTTTGAGATATCATGACCGGCCCTAGGCCATTCGGAATTGTTTTTTCACCCAAGGGCCTCGTGGGCACACCAATCAACTGTTGAAATACAGCCCAGGGTTCGAGTCCAGATCATGGTTCTAGAGGAATAAAACCCGATATTTCCGATGGCCTTGAGGTAAATTCAATATTGTGTCTAATCTGACATCGGGTGGCCTTTTCAGCAGGGTGGCCTTGATTGCCTTCAAGGCCGTCGCCCTTTAAAAAGATAGTTTAAAAAAAGAAAAAAAAAGAAAAAAAAGTAATAATAAATAAATAAATAAATTGCTTTTTCTTATCTCCAACTGACTGGATCCGGATTCAAACTTCCGCTCCGAATCAACGGTTCATCAGCCGTGTACCAACTGAGGGCATACTCACATGCATCATAGGGGGGTAGTGTGGCGAGGCCCCAGGCCCGTCGAGCCGGTCTCAGGACTTCGGGGCTCGCCACATCACTGTCGAAACGATAAGGAAAAGAAAAAGGAAAAGAGTACGTCTTCCTCAGAAAATCGCAAAAATGCATGTGTTATTATTCAGGGTATGGTGCACTCCAACCCTTTTTGTTTTGACAGTCGTGTGGCGAGGGGCCCCCACACTCCGCGGGGCTCGAACTCGAGGTCCTGCGATTAGCGTAGCGCCGGTAGCGGAGCCTTAGTCACGGAACACGTGGCGCTAGACGCTCAAATTTTTATTATTATTATTATTATTATTATTATTTTTTTTAGACGCTCAATTTTGCTATGGCTTCTGTTTGAACCGATCCGCCTCCGTGTCAGGGACGTATGGCCCCGACCTTTCTCAATAAGTAAGCCCCCCGGGACTACTTACCGAAGTCGGTCGTCCGATGCGAGCGGCACTGTGGAAGACAAGAACTTATCGTTCGGTACCCTGCACAGCCATATCCAGTTCTTCTTTCTCTTCCTCTCTGCGTCTCTCTCTCTCTCTCTCTCTCTCTCTCTCTCTCTCTCTCTCTCTCTCTCTCTCTCTCTCTCTCTCTCTCTGTGTTTGTGTGTGTGTGTGTATTCAAACGCACACATCCCCATTACACACGACGCTGTTTGCACCTCATTTGGTTTGTTGCTGTTGTGTAAGGTACCGGCATCGATGGATCATCGGTGGAGTTCCGTTCGAGGAGCACCAGGAGGAGGACGGGCTCGTTTTATGTTATTCGTTTGTCTTCTTTGTTGCTTGTGCTTTCGCTCCGCGGTTGGTCAGGCGACGGTCGTGGTGGTACAGAGCGGAGGGAGTTCGCATCGCCCTCCTCCTCCCGTGTGTGCTTCCAGCCCGACGCAGGGTGTCATCGATCCTACTCTTTATCACCCTCACGATGCAGCATGTCTTATGAAGTCCATCAAGAAGTACTCTTATCAGGAATTTCTCAAGGACAGGCCCATGGCTGCCTCGCTGTTGCGGCTCTCCTTCCACGATTGCTTGACCAAGGGTGGCGGCTGCGATGCGTCCATTCTGAAGCCTGGCGAGATCACGGATCCGAATAACATCAACGAAGGACTGCGGATTACGGTGCCAGTCATCACCAGGATTCGACAGCGAGCGGCGGAGGAGTGCGGTGTGTACCCGACGATGGCGGACGCCATAGCCAGAGCTGGCGCTGCTGCCATCGCCTTCTCTGGCCTTGCCGATCCCACTACCGCCGGTTTCCTGCTGGGGAGACGGGACATTGCCGACAATCAGCCTGGTGATGACGCCAGAACTCTGCCCGATGCTCTCGAGCCGCTCGATAACATTCTCACAAAGCTTACAGGTTTCGGGTTGTCCTTGAGAGAAGTGACCGTTTTCTCTCTCGGAGGGCACAGTGTGGGCAAATCCGCCTGCTCTCACTTCAACTTCAGACTCAACAACGGGAGCACGCCGGGCGGCTGCCAGAAACCGGTGGACCCGACCCTCGATCCCGCCTTGGCCTGCAAGCTGGCGAAGGTCTGTGGGGATCCGAACGCCGACGTGAAGTTTGACTTCGGGACGCCATTTTCGCTGGACAACAACTACTTCAAGCTGCTGTTAAAACATCAAGCTCTGCTGCGGACAGATCAAGCGTTTGCAACCCACTCGGGGACAGCAAGCTTCGTCCGGGAATACGCTAACGGACCGAAACGGTTCGCGAAAGATTTCCTGAAAGCCTTTGTCAAGGTGGAGCTTGTGAGCATCAACGGTCCGACCACTGCGCCGCCGAAGAAGTACTATTACTGATACTCTACTACAGTATTTATTCGATCACTCCTCAAGTGTGGTCGCCTCTGTGTGAGAGATGGATGGCAGTAATGAGAGTAGCATGATTATTATAGTAACAGTTAAAGTGTGGTCGCCAGATGCTCGTAACAGCAGTGCAAATAGCTGCGAATGCATCAGCTAGGGAGGAGGAAACGTAGACGCCAAGTGCATATGGCCGGATTACAGTGCGTGGTTGCCAGGTGGCAGGCATCTCGTCGGCGGTGCTAACAGATCTCCTACGCGGGTTGTCTGTACGAGGAAGGTAGTATAGGTGATTAGTGGACGACAAGTGTGAAAGCAGATAGGCTCGAGGGAAGAAACAATTGATAGGTTGGGGGTGGGAGGAGGGGTAGATGAGGAAACTACCCGCTAATGATGATGCGAAGGTAACACAGATGTTATGGAGAGTTTGAGCGTGGAAGGACATGGTCACATGGGACGACAGGTAGGAGAGGGGTCTCTCTTTTCATGGAGTATGTTAGGCGGAGAATCTTAGTAGTTGCTTGGAGTATGTTCGATGATGTCATTCGGGTTTGCTTTTTGAGGCTTAGAGTTTGCGCGTCGCCTGCCCTTTAGAGCTCAACTCCTCGTAAGATGATTTCGACCACTGTACGAATGTACAACGAATCTGCGACGAATCTATAAGAATGTACGACGGAAAAAAAAGAAAAAAAGACACGCGCACGCATGCTAACACGTGCATGGATTTGAACTTGGTTTGAGCAGAGTCGACCACGTTTCTCAAGAGTATCGCTAGCTTCGGACAAGATGGCTAGTTCTTATCCATCAGTGAAACCCATCCTGGGCTGGCTGTCAGGCTCAACCTCCTGATCAGTCGATGAACGTCCGACGAAAGTCTGCCACAGTAATACTACATTTCTGTGAATTGAGTTAAGCGAACACACACACACACACACACACACACACACACACACACACACACACACACACACACACACACACACACACAC